ACACTAAACCAGATACTTAATATTCGGAGGACAAACTAAAAGATGAACTCGAGATAAAAGGCATCTCAGATACCAGGAAAACGTCAGATGACAAACAATTGATACCATATGATAACAACTATGTTCAGCAGTGGGCTCCACAACCATATTTTGATACACAAAGATTTCATAGCCAAAACTACAACTTCACACCACGTTACCAAAACTACAACAGATGCAACAATCAAAGCAAATTCAACACTTATTACAGACCTTATTATCATGATCATTAAAGGCACAAAATAAATTATGATAATTTCAATCAATATAGCCATGGAAAATTCAGCAACAACAATAGACAAACAACTCACGATGATCGAAACAATTATTATGTCAAAACAATCATTATAAAAGTGGTAACTTTAACAACAACAGCAGACAAACTTGTGACAATCAAAACGGTTATTGAAATAATAATTTTAACATCAACAACAGTCCAGAATACATCAATCGAAACAAGATTCGACAACAGAGACAACTGCGTACATAACAACTACAATACCCACAGATATAATAATAACAAATTATACACCAAACGTCAGCAAGATAAACAGTGTCAATTTCGTTTTATCATAATCAATATATTTTATAGGCATTTTCAACTGAGCACTTTATAGCTTTAGAATTAATGGCAAACTTATCAGTAGTTATGCCAAAATGTGCATTCAATCACTACTTAACTTATAATGTTTTGCTTCTGGACTGGTATTTTTCATAGGATAAGGTTTCATAAGATTTTTTAAGGTGAAGGCTAGATCAGACAATGATATTATTTGATATAGGTTTTTCTAATTCTAAAATAATTAAAAATTATTTATTAATATTAAAAATTTACTTTGATATAAAGTACTATTTCTAAAAGTGCCACCCTCATTTTGTTTTCCAGATATGTGCTTACCATCTAATGAACCAAGGCAGTTTGAAAATCCATGTTTCTCAAAATATTTTTGTGCAATCTAAAAATATATTAATACCTAAATTTATAATATCTTCTCCCAATGTTCTCTAGTTGGAACTGGATTAATATCTTTTAAAGTTTTCCTATAGCATCATATACCTCTAGAATGATGGTAACAATGCATTTTGTTTATTCTGCTTTTTAACTTGGTTTGTTTTTTCTTATTTTGGTAGTTGGGTTTTGTTGAAGAATCTAATTTATAAAAAATAATATAATTATAAAAAAACTGAAAAAATTATACTTGGTTGTTGGATACCATTGCTTTGATATGTGAAGTGAATGAAATGGTAGGTATATCAATGTTTTAATTTGGTATGATATTACCATTGACCCGAATAAGCTATAATGATTTTTATTGGACAAATATTTTTTAAAAGAATGCTATTGGCTAAATTTTAGTGATGTTAAAAGTTACTTTTGAAACATAACTAGTTACAGTTACTAGTTACATTGGCAAAAACATAACTAGTTACAGTTACTAGTTACATTTTTACAAAAGTAACTAGTTATTAGTTACAGTTATTTTCAAAAGTAACTAGTTACTTACTTTATACATCCTTCATATGCGCATTATTTATTTATTGAATGCATTTATTTAATATAAAAAAAATTAGGATAAACAAAGTATAATCAGTTATTTAAAATAATATACAATTTATTTATATAATAAAATATAGCAAAATTGAATATTTACATCGAATATAAAAATATATATTTGCATTGAAAAAAAAACATTTATTTTTCTAGAATCTAATAAATGTTTATTTGCTTTTAACAACAAATTAATTTCAAAGTTAATATCTAGGAGATGTGCTTGTTTATCTCCAAAAATAAGCTTACCTAGACTGAATAAGCGCTCTACGGGAGCACTTGATGTTAGAACAACATTATATTTAATAAAGAGTAATTTTAACTTTGGAAAATCGTTATATAAATAAAAAGTGTTGTTATTAGATTTGATAAATTTTTCTATAAGTTCATTATCCAGTATATTTTGGCGCTTTAGGTCAAAAAATCCAACTACATACAGGGAAGGGTTAAATCTTCTTCATCTGAAGAAGTAAGTACTATGGACATAATATTCTTTTAAAATAAATTATGAATTAATTCTTAATATCATTATATTTACTTTGAATTTTGATTGAATATTAATTTCGACTGATAATTTAACAACGAGAAATAAAAAAAAATGTTGGAAGTGGTTGATATGAATTAAAACTCGGTTTAAATTATTAATATTAAGAATTAAAAAATAAATAAAAGTAATTTTATAAAACAATAAATAATGTTTTTTTTATTGATATTTTTTAAGAAAAAATATAATGTAACGAGTAAAGTAACGTTTTGCGTTACCGTTACTCAAAAAAAAGAAACGCGTTACCGTTACTCGTTACCTTTAGATGAAGGTAACGAATGGCGTTCCTTTTCTTCAAAAAAGTAAAGTCGTTAGTAACGACGATACTTTTTTGACGTTACTTCACAGAACTACTAAATAATATAATATATCAAATATAATTTTTTATAAAGTGAGTAATTTTAATTTATTTATTTTAATAATAGTAAAATATAATTATAAAACTATTGATAAAATTAAATCATAAATTAAGTAAAAAAAAATAAAGCACAATACAAACAGTGGAATATTATATGTCGTAGATTTACAGTATATCTAATTTTATCAATTATCATAATAGCAAATTATATATTTTAGAGAAAACTATAAAATATAGATAAGGACATCAGAAAATATCTTTTAAAGACATTGTGAGATAAATAATATGAAGATTAATTTTTAATATCATTTTTACTTTATAAATAGATGGCGTTAAATAATCGAATGCAAATTGTTGCTATATTTATTATCAAGAGCATTGATTAGTAAATTTGTTAAAATTTTTAAATGTAATATATTCTCTAACTGTCAAATATGTTTGTAAAAGTGGAATTTTACCTAGTATTTTATAACCAATTCTATATAATATAGGAATATCAACTATATATCTATTTACTTTTTATAAATAAATTCTTATACTTGTTTGGTATAAATTATTACCATGCTTTTATATTAATGTATATACAAGTAATTTTTTATATTTTTTATATAAACTAAAAATATATTTCATATTTGTTCCGGGCTTATTTTTTTTTATTAAAATTAACTTCCGATCTTGTAAAAATATTTTATGACTATATATAAACTAAGGTAACCCGGCCGCCCTCAGAAAATTTTTAAACCCCCCCCCCTCCCTCCTTAGGAAAATTCTGGCTACGCCTATGATCCAAAATTATTGAAGATTCCCAGATTATATTTTCTTCTTTCAATGATCAATCCAAATAGAGTGGCTCAAACAGCTTTTCATTTGCTTATTGATTATTAGAAAGAATTAGAGATTTAATTGTTTTATCTAGCCTAAATAGGCCTGAAAAAATATAATTTTTTTTTTGTGAGATTATAAATCGGTTTAAAGATTCTATTATAGCATCGTGGTTTGGTGAATATCGCGACCGAAGGCCTTATTTTTTAAGGGGATAGAAGGAGGGATGAGGTAGGGGTAGATTTTGTAAAGGGGGGGGGGTTGCTTCCAACAAATTTTCTCCCATGTAGACGCTGGTAGGGAACAGTTTGCTTCCAATTATTTTAAAGGGGGGGGGGTAGGGGAGGTGGGCTAAATTTATTGAGGGGTTCTCTATTAAATTTTAAATAAAATAGGGAAAAATATATTGCTGCAAATATTATTTAATATAATATATTACGGGTCGCAGCGTCCACATGACAGGATTTTCACTGGATGCAAACCCCCTTCAAAAACCTTTGCCTACCCCCCTAAAAAAAATTTCTAAAGGATTTATTTTTTAGATAATAAATAAAATTAAATCCTCCATTATTTACAATGAATATATTATTATAACTTTATGAGCTTGCTGAAATATCTACCTTTTAAATGTATTAAAAGGATAGCAGAAAGTTTTATTTGGAAAACAATATGTATAATTGTTTGCAATATATAGATTTAACTTATGAATTGTATTAGATTAGTTCTATTATAAAAGTATTAATTTTTACAGCAATAAATTTTGTCCTATTTCATCTCAAAATTCAATAGATAATACCCAAAAAATTTATCCTACCCCCATTAAAGCCGCCTACCCTTACCCCCTCAAAAAAATAGGATGCAAACTGTTCCTACCCCTCCCGCTCATGTAGACGCTGACGGGTCGTATTATTAGCATATATTATATATACATAATTTTACCCAAGAAGTTTAAGATGTAGAACATAATTATCTTTTATCATTTTCTCGTAAATAGGTAATGAATCTTGTTATTTTTGTTTTTAAATTTAATAAAAGATTTTTCATTTCCAGTATTCATTTGAAGGAATTTACTAGGTATCTATGTAAAATTATTATAAATCCTATTGAGATGCGCCTAGAAAAAGATAGTTATTAATAAATATGTAATTTACCTATTTATGCAACAATTCTAACATTTTAGGTTTAACAGCCAAAGGAATATCTCTTTTTACGGTTGAAAATGCTAATTAATATGTTCAAATATAACTCTGGGGCCTTTTTGGGAACCCATTTTTAAAATAGTTGACCAGATATTTTATCCGTCTGTTTAAATACAATTTTAAATGAATAATTATTATAAATTTTATTTTATTTTATCAATGATTGTATTACTATATGTTTATTGGTTAGATATTATATAAATAGTTTTTATAATGTTATGTTGCACTATATTTTTTTCAAGTTAGAATTTTATTAGTTATCTTATAGAAAGAGGTTACTAATTTTTTAAAAAAGGTCATGTAAAGCCAATGACATATAGTTGTGTAAAAATAAGCAAAATTTTTGCAAAGCAATCATCTATTCATTTTTTTCGCCAAATTTTAAAATATTGTTTATGATCAATTTACATTTGAAATAATATAAATGATGTCTATTCCACCAAATGCAAATAAGAATGAAAAGATTGATAAATCTCCTCTAAAAATTATAACGAATGCTAAAATTACAGCATCTAATAACAGCAGTAATGAGATTAAGAATAAAAAGCTGATGTACCATAATGTTATATTATCCGAAGAATCATTCACAGAAATAAGTAAGGAAAATTTTAAATCTAATATTGATAAATATTTTGGCGAAAAAGTTAATGTTAATAAAATTGATCTTATTGATTTGACTCATTGCAATCATTCAAATTCCCTAAAAGATATTTCGGTTATAAATCTATCATGTTCCTCAGTAGATGAACCTATAAATCTAGAATCATTTGATAACAATTTAACAGATTCTTTGGATAATGGAAAAGATATAGGATATAAAGATGAAATAAAAATTTATCCTACTAAAAATAACACTGCTAAAGACATTTTGAAACAAACAACTGCAAATCCATCATATAATCAATTAACATCAAATAGTGAGTTATTTTAAAAATATACTAAACAACATTTAGTCTAACCAAATTGGGAGTGAATTACTACTAAATTTTTATTGGTCAATTATAATTAGGCCTATCAGATGATTTTGAGACATGTAAACATATGTCTAGTATCAATTTTCTATTGATTTGTCCTTTTTTTAAAAAAATATTTTTTTTTACATATGAGTGTATTTTTACAATTACTTCATAAGTTTTGTTTGTTTATTTTTTTCATCATTTTTTTTATGTATATATACTTTTATTTATACTTATATAAGCTATAATATAACTTATTTGTAATTTTAAATTGAACAAAAACTCAAAAAATAGGCTATTATTGAAAATACAATGATGATTACAAAAAAATGTCTTATGATTGGAAGCCAAAGAAAAGAGTGTTGTACATTGTCTATCCCCATATGTTTCATTTTCAATCAGCAATAATGGTAAATTTGATATAGAACAGCTACTGATAAACACCAACAAAAGATCAAGGATGTATCTAATAACCAACAAAAGAATAAGGATGTATCTAATAACCAACAAAAGATCAAGGATGTATCTAATAACTAACAAAAGATCAAGGGTGCATCTATTTGTGTAAAATAATGCAATACTTTATACCCACAAAAGGCTAGATGATCAGTTTATGTAGCAGATTGTACTTTAGAATTTCATGCTGTGTAACACCATTTTAGTTTTCAACAGATTGTAATTGAAAATCTTTTAAATATAATTTCCTGATTAGACTTTCTTTAGATCATGTTTTAGACAATATTTCAAAAACAAATTATATTTCTATTTCTACAAAAATTAACCATGGAAACCTAAAAATATTTCCTAATACAGTATTTTAACAAAGAAATTGACATCATTGTTAAAATTATTGACATTTAATCACTTAAAAATGAAATGTCAGATAGTGTTTTCTGCAAACTAAAAAATTATGTATTAAAGAATATAATTGGAATGGGTTGTCCTGCCTATATATTACAGAATAACATTCATTTTAGACTTGATAGCCTGCTAATAGATTGGAGAGTTTTGTTATGAAAGTTTACAATTACTTTTCATTATATAGTGTTAAAATTAAAGAAACTAAAGAGTTTTGTGAATTCATTGCGCCTAGTTATAAACCACTTTTTTATCACACAAAAACAATGGTTTTTTTTATAAATGAGTCATAGTTGTTTGACCAATTTTGCAACCTTAAATTGCTTATTTCCAATAAAATGAGTTATGTTGAATATACAAAACTATGTTAACAAAAATTTGTTCCAATCCTTGAACAACACAATGAACTACTAATTATAGCAAGTTTTATTGGACTATACCAGCTCATGTTAGTTGAATGAATCTTTTCTTTTCAATAGTCAATGGATAAATGAGAGAAGACTTATCAATTTATTGAAAGATACTTAAAATCCACAAATAAAATTTTGACTTATGAGTTTATTACATGATATTTTAAATATTGAAGCAAAACACATATATGATTCATAGCATATAACAGAATAAAAATATTGTAAAAATAAAACAAAATGCATCTTCTACTCATATATTTATTTAAATAGTTCTTTCTATCAGTATTTGCTATCTTAATCTGCATTTTGTCCTTCTGAGTTTTCAACATCAATTAAAATTGTTAATTTGATTTTAAAAAAATAAAAAATGTTTTAAGATTAATTTTACTTTATTTATTTCTTGTAGAACTGAGAAAAAATATGATTTATTCTTTTCAATCTGATATCACTTATAAAAAATTATAATAAACAAGTTAGAAATAGTAGTTCATTTGTAGAAAATTAACTGTTATTGTAATTATGAGTGCAAAGCGTGATCCAATTTGGCTCATTTTTGCACAAGTTATCCATCCTGATCCTAATAATTTTTGCTAGGCCTGGTATAATTTGAAAAAAATTTGCTCGGCAGTTATAATTTTTTAAAAAATTTGCCTGACTCATTTTACAAACAGTCTGACCCTCCCCATTAAAGTTATATGAAATGTCAGGCCCTGTTTCTGGATCTTTCTACAGCAACTGTTTTATAAATCTAGTATCTGTATTGATTTGTAATTGTATCATATCAAATAATTGTTTACTTTTTGTTAATTTACTATATTATTTATAGATATAGTATTTTAATTAGACAATTCTTAAAATACGAGGAAATAAGCATATTTTAATTTATTTTCAAATAGTAATTAGCTTGAAATTCAAAAAAAATTTAATGCCCAAACTATTTATTGAAACTTACTAAAAATCAAAGATTTGGGGGCCCTGATATTTTATAAATTGTCCAACTTGCCCTTTAAACTTTTATGCACAATGCCTCTCCTGGCCCTTTACATTTTTTGCCTGGCTTATAATTTTTTAAAAAAAATCCTGGCCCAGTCCCTTTCTTTTTTGAAAAAGTTTTGGGTGGGCTGGGCTTTGCAGATTTATAATTGTAGTATATGCTATTTAAACTATCAAAATTGAGAAGTTATAAAATTATATTTTGTTCTGTTATTTTCGACCAATGAAAATTAATTAATAATTCTCTTCCTTCAAATGTGTATCACAAAGTATAGCAACTATAGCTTAACCCAATTATTTTACTATTATTTATCTCAATTTCGTTAAAACATACTAAAGTAATAATTTTTTTTATAGGATAACTAGCATATGTTTTTAAAATAAATCAGAAATTTAGAAGTTGTTTTTTATTTTGATATCATTCATAATAAAATTAATTGTCAAGGTAAAATTTTTCTTTTAACTTAATTTAAAAAATATATGGATTGGTTAACCATTTAGTTAAGATTTATTACATATATTGGGATATGGAATTCATAGGGATTAGGAATCTCATTCTTACTAGTGTTGTTAATTAGTTGACTAATTTAGTAGATCTGCTTATAATTTTACTTATATTATATTTATTTTAATTTTGAATTTGTTAATTCTTAGTGCCTGGCTCCACCAAATTTAATATTTTATATATTTTTTAAAAAATATTTTATTAATACAAAATTAGGTAGATTTTTTATTAAAAATTTTAATAAAATAAATATAATAAAAATAAATAATTTTGGTCTCAGTCGAATAATTTAGTGGCTAAAGTTTTTAGTCGAATTTTTCGACTATAACTATTAGATAGTCGGCTAAATTTAGTCGATTAACAACACTACTTAATTCATTTACTAAGGGCGATTTTTAACTTTAAAAATCTGATATAACTGGCAATATATTACAGCCTAGAGTACCTACACGGTGAATTTCAGACAATTTTGCCGCTAACCTTTAAACTATATTAATTTTAAAGGAATTTAAAAAAAATACACAAATGTTTACGGCAAAATTGTCTGAAATTCACAATGTGAATACTTACACATTCTGGAATACATTTTCAATAAAATTAGATGTAAAATCGCCCTTAATAATTGACTTAAAGCTGAAAAATTCTGAATCCCCATGAATTCATAAAAATATTTCAATAATAAAAAAAATATATATATTTTAGAAATTTAGTTCTGTTTTTATTAGTTTGTCAACTATGCTATTTAAATCATAATTATTTATTACCCCCTTTTAATATCTTGTAATCAAAGAAATCTGTCATTGCTTGTAACATCTTATATTCTCGTGAATATGAATTACTGATAAACATTAACTATTATTTTATCTCAAATTTATATTATTTTGTTCAAACTTTCTTTTGTCTGTGATCTTCACTTGAACTTTTTTAGGATATAGGTCAAGACTAAACAATGACATTCTTTCTAAAATATTAATTATATGAACTAAATCCTGTTGAAGTATTAAATTATTGTAATTTTAGAAGTACTCAGTACTAGAAGTCTGCAAGAGGAGGGTTGAGCCCGCTCGTCAGTCTAAGCGGGCGGGTAGAAAAATTTCAAAACATGAGCGGGCGAGTTAAATATTTTTAAAACATTTGGCCGGTGAATTTAAAATATATTTCTGGCGAAATGAGCAGATTCCAACTTCTATTTATTAAAGATTATTTTCTTATTTCATAATATTGCATATTTCAAAGATTTAAAAAAAATATAGAGCCAAATCAACCAAGAAACTAATTTCTAAACATTGGGCGAACGGGTGGGTTAAAATTTTTTTTAAAAAATTGCAGACCTCTACTAAGCACCCCCCTCTGACGTCAATATATTATTACATTTTATAATAAATGTGATAGTCTCTCTATTTTCATGTCATATGAAATATTCTCATTGTAGCCCATTAAATTTGGCTCTGTTGCTAGAATTTGCTGAATTTTTGAAATTCTTAGGCCTCATAGTTATTCCAAAATGCTTTAACAGTACGAAGACTGCTAGACGCCCATTGTGGCTATATAAACTATATATTGTGTCAATAAATGCTTTAGAGCGATTAACGCCGTTATCACTGTAATTTAATCCGATACCGCTAATTCTAAAAGGTTATTTGAACAATGCCCAGGTATTATCGTTGGATGTAGTTCTATAGGTGCTTTGCTACTCAGATTTATTCCCAATCATGTCACTGTCGCCATCGTTAACAAAAGAAATCGAATTTTTACAAAATATTTTAGAAAACGCAGCGCATTTATAAAAATTCAGTAAGGTATGAACTATCTCCTTTGTATCTTTCGATTCCAGTTAAATTGGATTTAAAAATTTAAATGGGTCATAGGAGGACACCAATGTCGATTTTCGTAAATAACCAAGGCGAGTTTACTTGACAACGTAGTATATTCATCTACCAAGATAGAAAATTTTGATTGTAAATATATTAATTACAATTACAGTTTTTATTTGCATTTCCCTAGCAATAAATTATTAATAAGGCAGAATGTCTAAATGCACCATATCTAAACTATTGTGCTTTTGTCAATCTATTAACGATTCAAAATCCACAAATGAACTATTTGATCACGATAGTATGGCCATCTTCACATCCTTGCTAAAAAATGTATTTTGAGCCTTTACCATCAATCAATGTAGCTTTTCCTTTCCATCATGTCATTTGCACATTGCATACATCTACCATCCTTCTATTTAACGTTTCCACTATCTCACCAGTTCTATCTGTCATGCATACCAATATTCAATATTACATTGGTTTGTTTATCAATATGCATAACTATTTTTAATACACGCTCTGGTAATTTGTAATATTGTTCATTTATATTTAAATGTACAAGGCTAGAAAACTGAATTGGATACTCTTTTTAAGCCATAAAATAGGAAAGGGTTCGTTTTTGAATTAAAATTGTACAAATATGTTATACTACCATTTTGTTTATATATTTTATAGTGCTTACCTCATGATAAAAAATATTAATATACTAAAATACCATTATAAAAAAATCATATTTTTTAGAAGAGGTGCGGCTTTTATTAAATTTTAGGTGGGAACATGTTTAATTTTTTTTTAATCGGCGGGGACACTGCATCCCTCCCCCGACTACTGCCAGAGGATATATATATATGTTGGGTTCGGGTTCTAAGAAGAAAAAATTAAAGATTCAAGTTATAATATTTAATTTTTTAAAGCCATAGATTCATAAACCTTTAAGAAAGTTTTAGTAATTATTATTTTTTACACAGGGTAGGGTAACCTATATAAATAATTTTCTTATTTTGTGATAAACATAGAAGAATAAAACAACTTAAAGTTATCCCAGAAACTATACCTTTATAGTAAAAAAATTTTTGTGATGAAAAAATAATAAATTAGCATTCTGGATTCATTAATTGCGGACTTGCCCAGCTCGTAAAAATATTTTAAGGATAAAATTTTTTATGATTTGTTTTTGGTTAACCCCAATTATGGTATTGGTCAGTTTCGATATTGGCCGATATTTTCAATTTACCCCATAATGATAATTAACTTTCATAAATTTAATTTTTTAGCCTACATCATTTATGAATTTATAATATTCCATTTCTTTTTACTTATAATTTTAATAAAATTAAAGATAAATAAAAAAATAAGAATATTCATTCAGGAAATAACTATATATTATTTTATTTAAATTGGTAAAAAGAAGATTTCGGCGCATCTCTGATTATTATTAAGGATTTTAAATCTTATATTATAAGTGATATCCAAACAAAAGACAACTTAGAATTTTTTGTTTATTTTTAAAAAAAATGTCATCCTATAACTGTATACAGATGTTTAAAAAATATATTTAAACATTTTTTATCTATTTATTTGCCTACTATACAACCTAACCAAATAAAATTTACATTATTATATTGTTATAATAGATTTTAAATCCGTAAACACACTTTTAAACGAGGACTTAAAAGACGTACAAATTCTAATTGAAAAAATAATCAAAATTTTATCAATTTCTAATTTGTCACTACCTGATAAAGGATCCAAACTTAAAATAAAGTTGGCGGAAATGAGAAACAAAGAAAAAAATTTAAAAGAAAAGATTAGTAACCAAATAACTCAAAATATGGACAACGTAAGTGTAAAAATTATTGTAAATTATAATAATTTTTTGCTTAATTTTATCTATATTGATTCCGCACTATCATTCATGTCAAATATTTATGTGATAATTGACCGATCTAATCAGTCAAATTTATCGATCCAACCCTAATTTAAATATAATAATTGGATTGTATAAAATATTTTGTCATATATAATCGGCGGTTGTCATAGACGTTTCCCAAACCCGTGGAAATTCATCACCGTAAAAAATTAAGTTTTCGTAAATATCATTTTAAGGTAATAAAAATTATCTCCTCTATACTCCTTACCCCTTTTCCTCAAAAAATTAATACAATATGCTGTTATAGACATTAATTTAAAAATAATGAAGTTAATAGTTTTTTTTACTATAATTGAAATTTATGAGAAAAAAATAATTTCAAAAAAGGTGTAAAACCAAAATAATTTTTCTAAAAATGTAATCCGATCAAAAGTTGGTGACCAAAGTCCTCCAATAATTTAAAAAAATAAAAAGTAGGGCTGCATCAATCCACAATTTTTTCACCTATCCAGTTCGATATTTATTTCAAACGGTACCAATGTTTACATTGGTTTTTTCAGAGATGTGAACCCGAACCCGGACTAGTACCCTGGACCCTCCTATACCCTCGTATTTTGGCTGTACCTGAACCCGGACCCTTTTTAAAAGTGAAGGATTCTAGGTGTCATAAAAAATTTTTAAAAATAATATAAAAATAATTTTTTAAAAAATAATATAAAAATATTTTTTTAAATTTTATTCACTTTTTTTCGTGGAATCATTTATCTTCTCTTCGCGTTTTTCTTTCCATTTTCTTTCTGAACTTCCATTTAATTTAGAGATTGATATCATAAATTATTTTCTAGTATAGGTAATAATATTTACTCTACAATTGGCTATTAATGACTAAAAAATAATCACCTTAAAACATCATTGATAAAGCAAGGGATGTTGCAAAATATTTAAGAACTCCCAAAATTGTAAGAATATTAAAATCAATGGCAATATTAGATTGCACAACACGTTGGTCCTCAATTTATATGGTCGAGAACGATTATTAAGTTTAAAAGATTTCTGTAATGATTTTATTATAGGAGCTTGTGAAGTCATTTTGTCGGAAGATGATTGGTGCTAAATTAAGGACCATACTAGTGTATTAGTTCTTTTAAAAATAACAACATTAAATCAAAATAATTATGTTTATCTGATTTTTATGGCATATGGATTAGATGCCAATTAGATTAGAAAGATTTACTAGTCCTTTTTCATACAGAATATTAAAAAACATGAGAATTTGAGAGCAACAATATTTGCAAAATAGGTTATATACGCTTCTATATATTTAGACCCTCGATATCGTTTTATTGAGTATTGAGCAAATATAAATGGCTAAAGACCATCTTAAGGATTTATTGCATACGCAAAACTCCATTATTTGCAATATATTGGGGCTACGACAATACCTACTGGTTGTGATAATAATGATAGCAACATTGAAGATCTTGAAATTTTACTTTTAGATAGAGAAAATAATATCAAATTATCATTAGACAGAAAGGAGGATCAAAAATGCCTATTGCATCTTTAATAGAAAAGTTCTCAGAAGTTAAGAGAATAAGTAAGCATACAAATATTTTAAAATTCTGGGAAGAAAATTCTTCAATATATCCAGAATTATATATCTTGTCTAGAATCGTCATGGCTGTACCGGCGACACAAGTACAATAATTTATGCGTTATAAAGATAACTAGCTATTTTAGGTAAACGTAGAACGTGGATTTTCATATTTGAAATATATATTGCCTAATTTATGTGGAAATCTCAAGGATGATATTTTAAAAGATATTATAATTGTGCGATTGAATAAAACATTTAAAATATAAATTATTTTATTTTAAAATTTTTATTTGTAAATTATGAATGTGTATATATTGAAGTATAATAATAAATGAATGAAAAAAAGTTTTATTTTGAGTCATCTGAACTCAGACCCTTTTTAAATTTTATTACTGAACCCACATCCCTGTGAGCCTCAAGTTTATGTGATAATAAGTTTCTCCTATAAGGGTTATCTATATCTAGTTTTGTTAAGCGGCTCTGAACCGATTTTTAAAAACGGCTCGATTAAGATTTTATGCAAAATAATTGCAAGCTTCAAGATTTTGCAAATAGAGGTCTAAACCTTTCTGCCACCTATGAGCACGCAGGCTTACATATATTATTTTGGCTAAAATTTTAATCGGGCCGTTTTTAAATTTAGATCCAAATAGGGATTTTAAACTAAATTAGAAACCAGTTCATAAATCAATAAAAATATGCATAATATCGGTATCGATTAAATTTTTAATAGGATACAATATTTTGCTAACACCATCTATAAAAATTTAGATTAAATGTTTACAAAGGCTATCTTCGCAAGCAATTTGTTTCATATCAATAAAAATCAGGGATGTGAATTGTGAACCCTTCGACAAAAAATATGGTCCGGGTTCAGGAATAAAATTTAAAAAACGGCCAGGCTTGAGGGTTTGGGAAACATAAAAAAATATTGACTCAAAATAACATAATTTTTTTAATATTTATTTTTATACTCCGTATACATACATAATTAAAAATAATTTTGGGTTTTCACTTTTTTTATAAAAATCCTTTTATCTAAAAATCTTAAATTATAGTCGTTATTTTAAAAAGTTATTAATTTTTTCTAATTTTCTTTCAAATTCTTCCTTAGTGATATATTGTATACATATTTCGGAGAGTAGGTAATAATATATTAGTATAAATGATAATGTATTAATATGATAGGACGTTGCTTATCTTTTTATATCAATTTAGAAAGTGAAACAATGGGAATTTTGAAGCAGGCGCGTTACCAAAAGTGGGGAAATCCCCCCTTCCCATCTTAAATTTGCCTGTTCTCGAATATCATATTAAGTTAATAATCTCTCTTACACAACCCTCTCCAAAAATATAAACAATACATCACTAAAGATAGTGTTGTTAAACGGCTCATTTTGAGCCGGTTTTTAAAAACGGCTAACTCAATATTTTGGCCTGAAAAATATAGCCTAAGCCTTGAGATTTTGCTAATAGATGTCCAAGCCTTTGTTCCTTCTACAAACAAAATCGTCAGGCTTGAGTTATATTATTCTGGATGAAATAGTGAGTTAGCCGTTTTTAAAAATCGGCTCAAAACGAGCCGTTTAACAACACTAACTAAAGAATTTGAAGAAAAAATTAGTGAAGGTTAACCTTTTAAAATAATGATTGTAATTCATAATATTTAGAGAAAAAATTATTTTTATAAAAATTTAATAAAGTTTTACAATAAATGGATATAAAGATTTCCAATAAAATTTATGAAAAAAAACCCACCATATAGTGCTCCACCCTCTTAACAAAATCCCTGATACGCTTATGTTTTTGTAGTGTAGGTAATAATATTATCATAATGGTTATGCGATAAAATAAAACATTTAAATTATAAATTAATTTTTTAAGCAAATGTGAAGAGAAAAGAAATGATTCCACAAAAAAATTAAAAAAAAAAGATATTTAGAAATTTTTATATTTGTTTTACATCTAGAGCCCTCCACTTTTAAAAAAGGTCCGAGTTTGGGTCCAGCAAAAATATGGGGATTCCGGGTCCGGGTTCACACCCTGATAAAAATCTTATTAATAAGAAGTTTTTAAAGGAATAAGCGCTATTAATAACTTACCCATTCGAATACGTGGCAAGACACTTCTGGATAAATTTTAGAAATTAACGGGTAGTCCGTCCTATCAGTTTAAAAAAATTGCCAGGTGCTGCATTTTCTTACTATATAAATCAACACGCTATCATTTCCATTATTACTATTAGCTAAAGGTGGGTGGGTATCTTCATAATATGCTGCAACAACTACTGTAAACATCTTAGCATTATATTAGGGCTTTGCCGATATTAAATATTTACCGTTTAAAAAAATCGGATTGGGCCAATGTTTCCAAAAAACTGATCCAATATTATTATTGTTTTGGGTTATTATTTAATTGTTACACATTTCCTAAAATAATAAATCAAGGAACCAAAATTTAATTTTTTACAATGTTTAAAAAGAAAGAATAAAAATTTGATATTATTTTTATAATATATTTGCAACAAGAAAAGAATTTAAAAATATATAAGGAGTCATATTAAGCCATAAGCATCCTATATTTTAAACGAGATGATTAACTTTTGGGGAAAAAAAACAAAAAATTGTTTCTTGTTCTGTCCATATATCATAGTATTTTTCGCAAAGAAATATCGATTTTTTATGACATTGGCTAAAAGATAGATGATAAATAAAAATCAATTTAAATATCAAATCGAGTTTGTGTGAATATCGGGTCTGTAAAAAAGTTGATTTTGATATAAAAACACTCATTATTTTCATTTGCAATATTTTTTTTAAATATTTAAAGTGTTTGTTAATTATTTTATATATAAATCATTTGCAAAATATATTTTTAGCAAGGATGTGAACCCGGACCCTGAACCCTCGTATTTTGGCTGAACCCAAACCCGGACCCTTTTAAAAAGTAAAGGGTTCAGGGTAAAAAATTTTTAACATAAAATATTTTTTTAAAAAAATAATGTAAAAATATTATTTTTAATAAATAATATAAAATTTTATTAATTTTTTTCGTGGAATTATTTATTTAATCTTCTCGTTTTTCTTCCTGAACTTCATTTCATTTTATCTAGAGATTGATATTGATACCATGAATTATTTTCTAGTGTAAGTAATAATATTTTATGATGAATCGATAAAAATACAAGCAAAAATAATAAAAGAAACAAAAAACAAATTAATTTCATTAAAAATCGATTCCGCCCAAAGATTAGGGAGAAATATTCTAGGAATAAATATACAGTATATAAAAGGAAATAATATAATATTAAGAAATTTAGCTATGAAGGAGATTAAAGAAAGTTCAACTTCTGAAAATATAAAAAAAATGATAT